CCTCCCTCTCTCCCTCCCTCCCTCCACCCCTCCCTTCCTCCCTCCCTCCCTCCCTCCCTGCGTCCCTCCCTCCCTCCCTCCCTCCCTCCCCCCTCCTCCTCCCTCGTCATCCTTTTCCCTCCTCACTCGACGTCTCCTTCCTGGACCCATCCCCGAGCTCGGCCGGAGGCAAGCGACGTTGTCCAAGCCAGTGCTCGGCCTCGTGTCCGCGGCCCTAGCGGCGCGCGCGGTGTCGCCGTCATCCTCCGCGCGCCTCCTGGAGAGGAGGGAGGGAGGGAGGGAGGGAGGGAGGGAGGGAGGGAGGGAGGGAGGGAGGGCGGGCGGGCGGGCGGGGCGGGCGGGGGGGGGGCGGGCGGGCGGGCGGGTGGGCGGGCGGAGGAGGAGGAGGAGGAGGAGGAGGAGGAGGAGGAGGAGAGGACGGCGAGGAGGAGGAGAGAGGAGGAGAGAGGAGGAGAGGAGAGAGGAAAGGAGAGATGAAAGGAGAAGGGGGAGGAGGGAGACCGACCCGGAGATGAAGAAAGCGCTTGACGACCTGAAGAAGACGTTCGACACACTCAACCGGGGGGGGCGGGCCGGCGCAGGGGCAGACAGGGACAGCGACAGCTGCGGAGCTTCCCAAGACGAGGGCTTGCAAGTCCTCGGCCGCCCCGGACACCGCCGAGGCGCCCAAGGTCGTGCCCTTGGCCTTGCTGGAGGAACCAGCAGGGCACGGTCGCGCCGGAGGTGGACCGCAGCGCCTTCCCGAAGAACAGCGCAGACCTCTTCCTCACCGAGCTTGCCAAGAAATTTCGGGCGACTGGAGAGAGCGGCTTGGACGCCCTCCTGGAAGCTAGCGGCCTCGCGGAGAGCACGGCCTAGAGCAAGGCGACGAAGTTCCAGGCCCTCCCCGAGTACACGTAGTCGTGGCGTCCTGGACCACGGGCCGACTATTGTGCCGCCTGCTGGTCTGCCTTTGGCTGCCGTGGCTCACTCGCCTGCGCCCTGTGCGTGACGGGTCTGTAGGGCCACTCCCGCCCGAGGGATCCTGAGTCAGTCCGTTGCTCCCGTGCTGGGCCATGCTGTGCTCTTCGCTGTCCTCTAAGCAAGCTGGTTCGCTGCGCTTTCTCCGGTCGTCACAACCGTCGTCTGTTGGACGCGTTTTCATTCTTCCTTGCATCAGGAGTTGACCAGAAGGAGGAGAAGGAAAAAGACGAGGATGATGATGATGATGATGATGATGATGATGATGATGATGATGATGATGATGATGATGATGATGATGATGATGATGATGATGATGATGGTGATGGTGATGATGGTGATGATGATGATGATGGTGATGATGATGATGATGATGATGATGATGATGATGATGATGATGATGATGATGATGATGGTGGTGGTGGTGGTGGTGGTGGTGGTGGTGGTGATGGTGGTGGTGGTGGTGGTGATGATGATGATGAGGAGGAGGAGGAGGAGAAGAAACAGGAGGAGGAGGAGCAGGAGGAGGAGGAGGAGGAAACGAAGGAGGAGAAGGAGGAGGAGGAGGAGGAAAAGGAGGAGAGGGATCAGTCCGAAGAGAAGGAAATCCCCAGAGAGACGCCCTCGGCCCCCGCGGGGCCGCGCCGCGCGTCACGCCGCGTGACAAAAAGACACAGTAGAAGAGGCCGCCGATCACGAGGGTCAGGCAGAACGCTACCCGTAGGAGCCTTCTCCCGAGGGGGCAGAGGAGGAGGGGTACCAACCCTCCGCGGAGGCGTGGTCACCCTGCTCCCCGCAAGGAGCTCTCGGCGCGCACATGCGGCATGCGCCTTGTCCGCAGCGGCTCACGACTGCCTGCAATCGGGGTGCGCCATGGGCCATGGGCGCAGGCGGTGGCGCGGGCTGCGGCGCGGCACCTGCCACGGCGGCGGTCACCTCGCCGAAGGTTGAGAGCGCTGCGCCAAGGACGGAATGGGCGGGCTGGGCGCCGCGTAGCAGCTGAGCGTCACGAAGGAGCCGACGACGCTCTGGGTTTGTTCCCCACCTGGCCATGACCTCCCCCGCCGCTTCGGACCTGGCGGCGCCTCCGCCATCTCGACGCACACCGCCAAAACGATCGTCCGGCGCGCCCGTCGGCACCAGCACGGCCTGCGGCGCCTCCTCGGCTCTGGGCGCCGCGGGGGGCGCGAACGCCGCCGCCGCCGCCGCCGCCGCCGCCGCAGCGGGGGCGCCGAGCACAGCCAGCTCGGCCTCGACAGCCGCGTCATGGCCGTCGCCAGCTGCCGCCACGGCGCGAGCGCACCGCTCGCCGGGTGCGAGGCCCGGAGGGGGGCGCGGGGCGGGCGCCGTCGGCGGCCTCGGCGGGCGGCCTCCTGCGCCTCGTGCGCCTCCGCGGGCGCCTCTGCGCCCCGACGCGCGACAGCGCGGCGGCGGGCGCGGCTCCCGGCCGCGTGGGCTCGTTGCCGCGGCGGCTCTCCAGCGCAGCAGCGGCCCCGAGGTTGCGCCCAGCGGCGCGGCCATCCGCACGGCGGTACTGCGCTCGGCCGCGGCGCCGAACGAATCTGGTCCGAGCTACGTGCGAGGAGGAGGAGGAGGAGGAGGAAGAAGAGGAGGAGGAAGAGGAGGAGGAGGAAGAGGAGGAGGGGGAGGAGGAGGAGGAGGAGGAGGAGGAGGAGGGAGGAGGAGGAGGAGGGAGGGAGTGGGAGAGTGGGGTGTAGGCGGTATGGTGAGCGGTCGTCACAATACCCTTCGTGACACGCTTGTGAACACCATCACGGACATCACAGAGTGTCCGGCCATCGCGGAGCAGCACGAGCACACTTTGCCAGATGATCGTCGGCCCGATGTGCACTTCCAGAACCACTAGGGCGAAGTTGAGCATATCGATGTGGCCATCGTGAGCCCGTGGGCAAGGCTACGTGGCCAGAACCCCCGCACCACGCGACATGGTGCCGCCATCGCGGCCGAGGAGGCCACGAAACGCCTGAAGTATGCCCAGCCGAAGCTCACCCCTGCATTGGCGTCCTGCTTCGGCCGCCCTGGGGAAGTCCTCATCACCCTGGTGCGCTCCCTGTGTAGAAAGGAGGACCAGGAAGAGCGCTCTGCGGACGTGAGCCTCGTCTGGCAGGATTGGGCGACCACGCTGCAGCAGTGGAGCGCCCGTCTCCTAGCTTTGGCCGGGCCCCGGATCCTTCCGTGGTTCGCTGGCCTCGCCCTTCAGGGCCGGTTCGTTTTACTAGTTGCCTTACCTGTTTCCCCTGTCACTCCTCCTCTTCATCTTCCCTTCTTCCCGGCGCCGACGTGGCCCGCGGACCCGGGGGCGCCTAACGTGGGGGCGTGGTGGCGCAGACCTCCAGGCCCCGGGCCGAGGTGGCTAGTTTAGTTCCCCCCTCCTCCCCTCCGCCCCTTTTTCGCCGCCCTCTGCCTCCTTTCACGTCTGCGGGCCCAAATTCGTGACATGTTCGTTGCGTGTTGCAGCCTGCGCAAGCCGCCTCTTCAATCACGTGTTGGTCATTTGTTGCGCGAAACCCTCCCGAGGTCTGGGTCAGGGGCGCGTCGCCGGCAGCCTCGTGGAGGTTTCAGCATTTTCCGGCGCGGCCTTCCCTCGCGCGCCTGGTCTTGGTGGGCACCCGCTGCAATCATCGGCGGGTGCCAGGTCCGCGGCAGAGAATGGGAGAGTGGGGAGGAGGGAGAAGGGAGGAAGAGGGGGATTCGGGAGGGAGGCGGGAGGAGGGAGGAGGGGATGAGAGAGGGAGTGGAGGAAGGGGATGAGGACGAGGAGGACCAGTGCAAGCCCAAGACTCATCAGCGATGTTGGAATCAACCCTCCCTCCAAGCTCCGTCTTCATAGGCCCCCACAGAGCTTCATGCCCATTGAGGAAATGCCACGTTGGGAGACAACCGTCGGAAGATCCCGAAGCGTACCGAAACACCACAATTCAAAGTTCATCGCCGCACAACAGCCATCAGCCTGACTGTTGCGTCTTGACGGTCCCGTATCGTGCCAGGAAACCGTTTTTGGGACTTCGACACCGCGAATCAAAGTAAACGTTGCGCTATGACAGGCCTGAATCGCTCCACGACGCAACTCCTGTTTCGTTACCCATTGGAACCCGTGAAACGATTGCACCTGTTGAATGAAAAAGCGATTGTGCGCGGCGCTAAGGCGAGAGCCACATTTTGAAAACGAGCTGTCCTCAATCCGTGAAGCGTTTGCAAGTATTTAAGACGAATGTGTTCGGCGCTAGGGCGAAAACCGCAGAAAAAATGGCCCGCCCCCTATCCGCGAAACTCTTGCACATGTATAAGACGAGCGCGCGCGGCGCTAAGGCGAGAGCCACATACTGAAAACCACCCGCCCTCCGTCCATGAAGCTGTTGTCATTGTCGAGTTTTAGGACCATGAACAGAATGGAAGTTTCAGGCGAAACGCCCGGCCCCCCGCCCTTTCGACGAGCCTCGGAGCGCGGCGTGGAGGATGAGTGGTATAAGGACAAGGATCGAGGAGGAGGAGGAAGGAAGGGGGGAGGGGGAGACGAATCATATGTAGGACCCATACAAACAAGTAAGGACAAAGATTGAGGAGGAGAAGGAAGGGGGGAGGGGGGGACGAGTCATATGTAGGACCCATACAAACAAGCAGTATAGATAATCACATGGATGGGGGGGGGTCTCTTTCAGTGCGGGGCCCTCGCTGGACGCCTCGCTGTGCATGCTCGTCTTCGGTGTTCGTCGCACGTCGCTACACAAGAGCGCAGGGCAGCTCATGTTCAAGACGGGGCGCTCGCAGGAAGGGCGGGCACCCAATGTGCTCGACTTCCAAGGGGGGGTGACCTCTTGTGGCGACGAGGAAGGCTTGCAAGGAATGATGCGGAGGGGATGTGGGACGGGAGGGTGTATCGCAGCACCGTTGGCGCATCTTGCGGTTTCACTGGTCATCCACCTCCTCCTCCTCCTCCTCCTCCTCCTCCTCCTCCTTCTCCTCCTCCTCCTCCTCCTCCTCCTCCTCCTTCTCCCAGCCGCGCGGCCCAGGCTTTCCAGATGCCGTGGCTGCACGGCAACAGGTGCGCGCCCCGCCGCTCCGACTTCGAGGCGGGACCGCCTCCGCCCCGCTACAGTAACCCCCTGCGCTGTACATTCGTTCTGATATTGCTTGCTCTCGTGTGCTGCTGTCGGAGCCCGTGGGCATCTTGCGGGTGCTTGGGAATATTGAGTGGATCGTCGTACTCTCAGATTGTGTCTACTTCTACGATGATAATAGTGTGCTGGAATCCTTTATCTATTGCCGACAAGGATCGGGAATTGGAGCTGCAGTATGAATTTGCCAAAGTGGATATCGTGATCTTAGTGGCCACACAGCGACGTGCCTTTTCAGCCTCACATGTGGTGGAGGATCTACCTAACTTCAAGGCGGCGCACATGGGCTATGACCCCAAGAGTTCCCATTCCAACTGCTCATGCGGTGTCTCTTTCTACATCAACAAAAATACGGTGCGAGCTCGTGATGTGGTGAGGATCTGGGTTGCTCCCAAAGATACACGAGGGCGGGGTGGAGCCATCCGAGTCAAATCCTTCTACGGGGACGTGACGTGCCTGGCGCTCTACTTTCCGCCGAGGAGTCGCGACCCACGAGAGCAGCCTCACTTAGCCACGACGGTGAACAAGCTACACGATTTTGCCCATCATGTGATGTCGTGTCTCGCGAGTAGGACGGTACCGATAGTAGCCATGGATCTCAATGATGGTCCTGGACGTTGCCACGGACCCCGCGGTCTCTCCAACATTGCATCGTCTGCCCTGGGCAAGTTTGGTATGGGGGAGGAGCACTTGGCTGGGGGCTCGATGAGAGGCTTTGCTGAGACGTACTCGCTCGCGGCTGCTAACACGTTCTTTCACTGTGGTCCTAGTTATTGCGGCGCGGTCCCTGACGAGGCCAGGATCACGTCGGCCGCCCGGAGCTTCCAGAGCGCCCCGGAGTCCACCAAGAAGCAGCATGCGTCGTACATCGACCATGTATTTGTACCCGAAAGTCATGTTGAACGCATCCAAAGATTTACTCAAGCGACGCGGGCTGCGAAGCGGCTCCAGGTCATCCCAGACAGCCGGCCCAGGGACCACATCCCCTTCGTCTTCCAGCTGGAGTTGAGGCCCTGCTATCGTGCTGAACCCCCTCGGAAACGTTGGGACGTTGTGGGCTTAGGTCAGGCACTTCGCAGTGAGCATCACGCACAAGTGTTTCGAAACGAGGTCGAACGGGCCGTCGAGTCACTACTTGACCAACGGGGTGTTGGGTCTCTGGAGGAGCTTGTTCAGTCTGAGAACCTCGAGGATGCCTGGAAGTCGCTGATAGAGCTCATCCAGATGAAGGGCTTCGAGACCTTTGAGGCCACCCCTAAGGCACTGCCTGCTGAGTACTTACAGTTGTCTCGGGAGCGCGTTCGGCTTCTTCGTGAGAGGGGTCGTGCGCGCGAAAGGTGCACGGGCCCCCTGGAGTTGACTATGGCCCTAACCCGCATCACTAGGAAGTGTAGGTCGAATCGTTGTCGACTGCGAGAGCTCCGTGAGGCCCAACTCTCAGAGGAACTGGTGGAGGCTCAATCTAAGGGGCTCGCCTCGGAGGAGTGGAGGATCTGCAGACTGATGGCGGGGGCGGGCGTGGGGCCGAGGAGGAGACAGCATGGTCACATCGCGTCTTTTACACCGAGCATGGAGGCGTGGGTGGAGGATCTCGCGATGCCGTCGAGTAAGGGTGGTACGAGTGCGACGGAGATCAGCGAGGTAGATTTCATGATTTCATACAGAGTGCCCCGCGGTTCGACGTTGACGAGTTTCCCTCGATCGATGACGTGTCCCAAGCCGAACACGACTTTGAACGCATTGCCAAAGGTTTTCGCACGGCCCGACGTAGGCGCGCAGCAGTGCCGTGGAGCGTGCCGAATGAGATCTGGTCTCTGTTGCTCTCCTCGCGCCCGCCAGAGAAGGTGCGATCGGCAGGGCTTGGAGTTGAGGCCCCAGAGGGCGTCGGTCCGTTGATCAGTAAGTGGGTGAAATGTATTCTGACCAAAGTTCGTCAGCATGCTAGGCTTGTTGCACATTGGAATGCTTCCATTACTTATCAGTTGTCGAAGGATGACGACAAGACACGCACACGGAGTACGAGATTGCTTCACGGTCTCTGCACGTT